GATCTCCGTAGAAGCACGTGTGTGTCCATGTATTCAATGTGTTGATCTCTGTAGAAGCACGTGTGTGACCATGTATTCAATGTGTTGATCTCTGTAGAAGCACGTGTGTGTCCATGTATTCAATGTGTTGATCTCTGTAGAAGCACGCGTGTGTCCATGTATTCAATTGGTTGATCTCTGTAGAAGCACGCGTGTGTTCATGTATTCAATGTGTTGATCTCCGTAGAAGCACGCGTGTGTCCATGTATCCAATGTGTTGATCTCTGTAGAAGCACGTGTGTGTCCATGTATTCAATGTGTTGATCTCTGTAGAAGCACGTGCGTGTTCATGTATTCAATGGGTTGATCTCTGTAGAAGCACGTGTGTGTCCATGTATTCAATGTGTTGATCTCTGTAGAAGCACGTGTGTGTCCATGTATTCAATGTGTTGATCTCTGTAGAAGCACGTGCGTGTTCATGTATTCAATGTGTTGATCTCTGTAGAAGCACGCGTGTGTTCATGTATTCAATGTGTTGATCTCTGTAGAAGCACGCGTGTGTCCATGTATTCAATGTGTTGATCTCTGTAGAAGCACGTGTGTGTCCATGTATTCAATGTGTTGATCTCTGTAGAAGCACGTGTGTGTCCACGTATTCAATGTGTTGATCTCTGTAGAAGCACGTGTGTGTTCATGTATTCAATGTGTTCATCTCTGTAGAAGCACGCGTGTGTTCATGTATTCAATGTGTTCATCTCTGTAGAAGCACGTGTGTGTCCACGTATTCAATGTGTTGATCGCTGTAGAAGCACGCGTGTGTCCACGTATTCAATGTGTTGATCTCTGTAGAAGCACGTGTGTGTCCATGTATTCAATGTGTTGATCTCTGTAGAAGCACGTGTGTGTCCATGTTTTCAATGTGTTGATCTCTGTAGAAGCAAGTGTGTGTCCATGTATTCAATGTGTTGATCTCTGTAGAAGCACGTGTGTGTCCATGTTTTCAATGTGTTGATCTCTGTAGAAGCACGTGTGTGTCCATGTATTCAATGTGTTGATCTCTGTAGAAGCACGCGTGTCCATGTATTCAATGTGTTGATCGCTGTAGAAGCACGTGTGTTCATGTATTCAATGTGTTGATCTCTGTAGAAGCACGTGTGTGTCCATGTATTCAATGTGTTGATCTCTGTAGAAGTATGTGTGTGTCCACGTATTCAATGTGTTGATCTCTGTAGAAGCACGCGTGTGTTCATGTATTCAATGTGTTGATCTCTGTAGAAGCACGTGTGTGTTCATGTATTCAATGTGTTCATCTCTGTAGAAGCACGTGTGTGTCCATGTATTCAATGTGTTGATCTCTGTAGAAGTATGTGTGTGTCCACGTATTCAATGTGTTGATCTCTGTAGAAGCACGTGTGTGTCCATGTATTCAATGTGTTGATCTCTGTAGAAGCACGCGTGTGTCCATGTATTCAATTGGTTGATCTCTGTAGAAGCACGCGTGTGTTCATGTATTCAATGTGTTGATCTCTGTAGAAGCACGCGTGTGTTCATGTATTCAATGTGTTCATCTCTGTAGGAGCACGCGGGTGTCCACGTATTCACTGTGCTAATATAGATTGATATGTGTATGTAGTCATGTTTAATATCATATGAACGGTAAGTGGATGTCCCTCGTGCATCTCGTCACGGCATCACCATTTAAATGACTATTATAATTAGTCTATATGATGATCAGTAGCAATAAGTATTCGAGACAGTGCAGCAAGAAAACATTATCACAAGGTTCGCAATACACACTGCACGCCACAAGTAGCATTCATTTGCGTTTAGCAAAATCTTTAAATTTATATGTGTGTGTTTTATCCTACTGTTTGTTTGTTTTTCTATCCTGATGGTTTTGTTGTCATGGCGATACCGAACAGCACACCCGCCACAGCCAAAGCGGACAAAACATTGAAATTAGGCGACACCGTCCTTCGGAGCAAATCAATTTTATTGATTTTATCATTAAATAAGCTTGCTTGACAATTGTCATTAATTGTGACTAACAATTGATCTATATCTGTATAATCAAGTGATTGAATCAATTTAGTGTGCGCCTCTTTCCGCAATATTCCACGCCTGAGTACCAACGAATGTCATTTACAATGTACCGCGTAGGGAATGAAACCCGGTTTTAAGGAGGGGTGAGAGAACACTTTAACCACAAGGCTATCAGCCAAATGGCTGCAATGATTCTTTCTGCTGTTGAAAATTGTCTCCAATGTTCCTTTCTTATGGATGAACATCACACATGCACTTTATCTTGCTAATGCACATAATACAGACACCTTGCCTTTTGGATAAACATAATACGTTCACGTTATCATGGTAATAAACAAGATGCATACACTATGTCTTGTGGGTTAACAAGATGTATACACTTTGTCTTGTGGGTTAACAAGATGTATACACTTTGTCGTATGGGTAAACAAGATGCAATCAGTTTGTCGTTTGGATAAATATAAGGCATAAACTTTGTCTGGTTAAATATACGTGTTGCACTTTGTCTTGCTGATGACACGTCGCTATATAAGTGCAATAATCTTGGACGCGACGTTAAACCCAATTTCACCTCACCTTGCTGATGAACATGATACATCGACTTTTTCTTGTGAGGAAACAGGATGCATACACTTTGTCTTATAGGAGAACAAGATGCATACACTTTCTCTTGTGGGAAAACAAGATGCATACACTATGCCTTGTGGGTTAACAAGATGTATACACTTTGTCGTATGGGTAAACAAGATGCAATCAGTTTGTCGTTTGGATAAATATGAAGCATAAACTTTGTCTGGTTAAATATACGTGTTGCACTTTGTCTTGCTGATGAACATGATACATCGACTTTTTCTTGTGAGGAAACAGGATGCATACACTTTGTCTTCTGGATAAACTTGGTACGGACACATTATCTTAAAAACAACATGATGCATTACCTTTCTGTTCCTGATCAACATGATGCATTACTTTTCTGTTCCTGATAAACATGATGCATAACCTTTATGTTCCTGATAAACATGATGCATTACCTTCCTGTTCCTGATAAACATGATGCATTACCTTTCTGTTCCTCATAAACATGATGCATTACCTTTATGTTCCTGATAAACATGATGCATTATTTTTATGGTCCTGATAAACATGATGCATTACCTTTATGTTCCTGATAAACATGATGCATTACCTTTATGTTCCTGATAAACATGATGCGTTACCTTTACGTTCCTGATAAACATGCTGCATTACCTTCCTGTTCCTCATAAACATGATGCATTACCTTTATGTTCCTGATAAACATGATGCATTACCATTCTGTTCCTGATAAACATAATGCATGTAACAGGCTAACATCATATTCGACAGTCAGTCATTTTTAGTAACACATTTTGATTTGACATACCAGTACTACCTTACTTAGATTACATGCGTATTTCCTGTCAGTGTGTGAGTTTGGTTTAAGGCCGCTTTTAACATTATTCCAGTTATATCACGGCGTGTCTGCTTAATGTGGAAGGAAAGCCCAATGTGATGCAGGTCTCAGACGTTTACCACCTCGGTGAAACCCACGAGCACGGGTATGGTGCTGATAGACCTAGAAACATAATTGGGGCGAACCGGGATTCGAACCCACAATCAGGTTTATGGCTTGCCCAAGGGACGCAACTCTACACAGCGAATCGCGGCTCCTCAGACGACTGGGCCACCCGTGCCCCCAGACAAAAGCCCATAGTGATGCAGGTCTCAGACGTTTACCACTTTGGTGAAACCCACGAGCACTGGTATGATGCTGACAAACCTGTGGAAGCTAGGAGCTAGTAGTAGATAAATCAGTGTTCGAACCCCCAATCATAGGTTTCTGGGATGCTTAAAGGACGCTGCCCCAATCCTAATCTTACATGTTTTGTGCCACCTTAAAATCAACTGCGGCCAACGTACCGCCATAAGAAAATCAACAGAGATGACATGGAATAAGGATTCATTTCAAAGATGCATTATACAAGTTAGAGACAAATGTGGTATAAGGGCATGAGCCAATACAAAAGGCCGTGTTATCAATGTACAAATATAGTATGCACATGTGATAAAGGTGATGTCACGGTTCGACATAAATGTGATATAACGGTTCGAGACGAAGGTGATATAAAGATACGAGCCAAAGGTCCAAAAATGTTCGACACTTACGTGGTACAAATGTATGAGAAAAGGGTGAGGTAAAGGTTCGACACAAAGGTGCTATAAAGGTTCGTGATAAGGGTCTATAAAGGTTCGACACAAAGGTGCTATAAAGGTTCGTGATTAGGGTCTGTAAAGGTTCGACACAAAGGTGGTACTAATGTATGAGACAAAAGTGATGTAAATGTTCGACACAAAGGTGCTACTAATGTATAGGACAAAGGTTGCATAAAGGTACAAGACATAGGTGATGTAAAGGTTCGAACGAAGGTGATATGAAGGTATGAGCCAAAGGTCTATAACGGTAGAGGTTCGAGACATGGGTCTATAAATGTACGAGACAAAGATGGTACAAAGGTACGAGACACGGGTCTATAAAGGTACGGGAAAAAGGTTTCAAAAAAGGATGGAGACAAAGGTGGTACAACCTTGCATGAGACAAAGTTGATACAAAGGTTCGAGACAAAGGTGGTCCAAATGTACGAGAGAAACGTGATATAAACAATTAAGGTTCGAGACAAAGGTGTTCAAAAGGTTCGAGACAAAGGTGGTACAAGGGCAGAGAAAAAGGTTATGCCTAAAGGCACGAGACGAAGATGTACAAGATTCGAGATAAAAACAAGATATAAAGGCAAGAAACAAAGGTGCTACAAATGTCATTTCAACTCGCGATATGTTAAATAAGATAGTATGAAGGCAATCGTCACGAAGAAAATCTCGTTTGACTGATCATATATATTTCTAAATTAGTATTAAGTATGTCACTATTAACACTGTACTTCATTGGGATGCTGGCTCAGTGCCCGCTGCAAACTGACAGCTAGCAAAGCCATTGTATCCATCTGTGGGTCAAGCCGCGGTGTGTGTCGTTCCGTCGTGTCTGGTCGGGACCTTGCTGCACCGGAGGAGCTGGATGAAAGCGCTCCTGAAGCGCCGGTGGAGAAGGGGGTAGAGGGCGGGGTTGACGGTGGAGTTGAGCCACAGGATCCAGAAACTAACCTCATACAACACAGGATCCACACAATCCCCACAGACACTCTTCACGAGAGCCAGGATTTCAAAGGGCAGCCAGCAGACGCCAAACACAAGCACTAGGATGAACAGAGAGCGCGCCGCCTTCTGATCTCGGGACACTGTCTGCGCATGAGCTGCGCGTATCTGCTGCTTGTTTCCGGGAGACACAGACCCGGATGTGGAGGAATGGGCAATCGGGGCAATCCTGTTCCTACCGGCAATGGAACGGGACTGTTTCCTCAGGCGTAGGACAATCAGTATGTTGAATGTACCAACAACAACAAAGGGAATAGTAAATTCCACCATGGACCCAAACACAGCGTATTCCATGTTATAGAAGTAGGGCACCATGCATTGCTTGATTGGAATAACGTCTTTGTTGATCCACATCTCCCAGAAAACAATGGCAGGGACGTACACTAACCCAGCTACCACCCACGGGGGAAGAATCATCACCAACAGAAGAGTTCTACTCTGTTTTGCTCTATATCGTAGGGGAAAAGCCACCTGTAGGTATCGGTCGATGCTGATGACGCACATATTAAGGGCAGATCCCGCAGGAGCGATGTAGTCCAATACGAGCCAGATCTTGCAGAAGGCCCTGCCGGGCTCCCATACTCCTGTCAGCAGGTAGGGAATATAGGGCGGGATGCAAACACAACCAATCAAAAGGTCCGCGACGGCCAGGTTCAGGATGAAATAGTCGGAGAACCTCCTCAAGGAACTGTTAGTGACAAAGGCCAGGATGACAAGAAGATTACCTCCCGTTGTAAGGACAGCCATGACGCCTGTTACTGTTGCTATGCCAACTATCTCTGTGGGGGTGAACACGGCTGCATCTCCATCGGTATTGTTGGACATCGTGGTAAACTGTTAACTCTGTCCTCTATAAGCCTACAGTTTCTCTTATACGCTACCCCACCTGCATTCATCAATGACAGCCAAATGACCACCTTGCACTTATTTAACCAGGTCAGTACCCTCCTCCTTTGGCCATGTGTAGACGCACTGCTCGACCCGGACTGTGATGACGGATAATGCCAAAACGAACAGCTTCTGAAACTCTTTCTTTACGTTCTCACAAAATGCGGTCCGAAAGATCCAGCGAATAAGTCATGTTTCACTACGTCTTCATAAAGAGAGCATCAATCGCTTGTCCTATTGGAAGAAACTCGCACCAGGACGCGGTGACGTCACCGTGAAGTATATAGCCATTAGTCCGTGTTTGTTTATACAGATCTTCAAGAGACTCGTCCGGGCATTTCGTCTTCCGTGGCTCTAATCAATTGGATAGCAGAACCTGCTTGAACCTCGTGTTCAGTGTCGTGTCAGTATTATACACAGGTGACCGATCATTTAAACAGAAGGCCCACAAGTCAGTTTCTGGAGGGTTTAATAAATACAGCCCTTGTGTTTACATATGGGTATGGCTGAAAGCACCCCATTGTCAACAGATTGGTCGGACGATGAAGGCCTTTTGAACATGAAACTCGGTAATACGATGTCCCTCCAGCAAACAACGCACCGAATACATCTGACGTGTGTCAGGTCCTTTTGATAGAAAACAAAGCGAGCCGTGATTGCTGAAACAAAGATGTCAGAAAATGTATTTTGTACAAGCGATGGTGTCGGAGAGGGGCTGGAGGCTGGGAGCTGGGGGAGGGGGAGGGGGGGAGGTTAGAATATCAAATGGTCGGTTTCCAAGGAAACACATTTCGGTGGCCTGTGCCAAAGATACAACACACGACTCAAGCTGAACAGTAAACGTATGTTTATATATTAAAAACGCGACAGACATGTTTAGCACTAACCTTGTTTAGGGCTGTGTTTTAAACTTTAAATTCAAACATGTTTATAATCTAAACACATTTAGAATTCTTACACGTTTAAAATGTGATTTGATTAGAATTTAGATACGCTCAAGAAAGATTGGGGAGTACACTTGATTGTGAGAATTCACATAGTGACGTTGATTTCGGGACTCAACAGGAAGAACCTAACAGTGTTCTACTGTCACTTCTTAGATGCTCCCCTAAAAGTTCAAAGAGCCGACGGTATTTTATCCTGCTAAAAAGTGCACTTTTTATCATACGTCAGCGTTACTTCAAAATGTGCCGACGTCATGACGCTGTTCAAATTACCACCCCCGAGATCTAACGTTCCATCATTCCTGTCAATCAAGGTGGCGCACTCACATCAGTTATCGATCGGTGAAATAGTTCGGCCTACAGTGAGTCTGATAAAACACATAATGGCAATGACAGTCGTGCGAAGGGAAGACATCCACTTATGTATACTGAACAACAAAACTTCCTGTGACATTGAATAAGATTTAATGCAAAGTTATGTTTTTTACCAAATCTGAAACAATTTCGGTTTGCAACAGGTAAAAGACTCCTGTAAGTGTTCAAATGGTTTAATTTGCCATACTGACTTCAGAAACAAACATGAACATGCCAAAATGGCATTTTACAAATCAATGGCGTGTGTGTCCACCTCTGGTTGCGATGCAAGCAACACATCTTCGTTTCATGGAATGGACCCGGCCTCAGCAAAGTCCTGTGGGATATCTGTCCATATCTGCTTGAGCATGTTTCGAAGTTCATGGAGTGTCTCAGGAACACGTGGTTGACGTCGTAGGCGCCGATCCATCTCATCCCACATGTGCTCGATTGGTGAGAGATCAGGGGAGCGAGTCGGCCAGGGGATGACAATCACGTTGTTTTGTTGAAGAGAATCCTGAACAAGTCGAGCAATATGACGCCGGACGTTGTCATGTTGAAAGGTAATCCCTTGGCCATGACGACGCAAAAACGGTAGAACAACAGGGCCGATGATCTCGTCGCGGTTGCGGTGTCCATTGAGATTTCCCTCTACCACTATCAAACGGGTCCTCTCTACCACTATAAAATGGGTCCTCTGTCTTGCTGTAATCCCACCCCATACCATAACGCTGCCGCCCCGCACCGATCTTCTTCCATGAGACAATGATTGACGTTAACGTTCACCTCGACGTCGGTACACTCGAATCCGTCCATCGCTGTGGCTGAGGTGAAAACGAAACTCGTCAGTGAATAGAACTTGTCCCCACTGCATGGCCGTCCAGCGTAGACGCTGTCTGCAGCACTGTAGACGTGGTTTCCTGACAAAATGGGACGTCTGGTGGGTCTTCTGGCGACAATTCCTGTTCATCTGAGGCAGCGACGTACGGTTTGTAAAGATATTCGTCGAAGGCCAGGGATGCTTCTTGCAGTCACTGTTGCTGGCTGGAATCGATTTCGTAGGTGTGTTGTTCGAATCCAGTTGTCTTGTTGATTATTATTGACTGCATTCGTCTGTTGCCAAGGTTGCCAAAAACACCAAATGGTGTATCTGTAGACGTTGAATTGTCTTGCAAGATCACGTTGACTCGATCCTGCTTCAAGCATACCAATGGCTCGCAGACGCTCATTTTCGCACAGGCGTGGCATTTCGTAATGTGGAATAATTGCGTAATTTTGTTGTTTTTCTGAGTGGTTGTTGTCAGCACGATGCTAAACAATGCATATGGAATCCCGTTAACACACATGTATTTATACCCATTCTTGGGTAGTGAGATGCATGGGGCTTGCATTAAAGTCAACGTTTGCATGGAATGCATGCTTTTCTGTAGCAGTTGCGTTTTTGTGACTTGATTCCATACATGTACTACAATATTGAAAACCAAACTTTACTTGTTTAAAAAAAATGCACTAAAATATTGGTGTCACAGGAAGTTTTGTTGTATAGGACACAAATGGTGACCATTTCCCGTGAAACGTTTACAGCGCTTGTTAAACGAAATCTAACAATAACGTTTCTTTCCGCGTCCCTTTTCGAATCCCAAGTGGGACTGTCGGGATTCTTATATCTAAAGCAAGGAGCCTTACATGGCTCCGCGACATGATTGTTTTTTCATGATGCCATCTTCCCACACCGCCTCACAACCACGCACATCTTTCACATCACCTCATACCCATGCACATCTTCCCACATTACCTAACATCCATGCACATCTTCCCACATCACCTAACATCCATGCACATCTTCCAACATCACCTAACATCCATGCACATCTTCCAACATCACCTAACATCCATGCACATCTTCCAACATCACCTAACACCCATGCACATCTTCCAACATCACCTAACATCCACGCACATCTTCCAACTTCACCTAACATCCATGCATATCTTCCAACATCACCTAACATCCACGCACATCTTCCCACATCACCTAACATCCATGCACATATTCCAACATCACCTAACATCCATGCACATCTTCCGCATCACCTAACATCCATGCACATCTTCCCACATCACCTAAAAACCAATACACATCTACCCACATCACTTCACCACCCGTCCCCTTTCGAATCCCAAGTGGGACTGTCGGTATTCTTATATCTAAAGCAAGGAGCCTTACATGGCTCCGCGACATGATTGTTTTTTCATGATGCCATCTTCCCACACCGCCTCACAACCACGCACATATTCCAACATCACCTCACACCCATGTACATCTTCCAACATCACCTAACATCCATGCACATCTTCCCACATCACCTAAAAACCCATACACATCTACCCACACCACCTAACATCCATGCACATCTTCCAACATCACCTTACATCCATGCACATCTTCCCATACCACCTCACACCCACGCACATCTTCCCACATCACCTAACATCCACGCACATCTTCCAACATCACCTAACATAAATGCACATCTTCCCACATCACCTAACATCCATGCACATCTTCCGCAGCACCTAACATCCATGCACATCGTCTCACATCACCTAACATAAATGCACATCTTCCCACTTCACCTAACATAAATGCACATCTTCCCACTTCACCTAACATCCATGCACATCTTCCCACATCACCTAACATCCATGCACATCGTCTCACATCACCTAACATAAATGCACATCTTCCCACATCACCTAACATCCATGCACATCTTCCCACATCACCTAACATCCATGCACATCTTCCCACATCACCTAACATCCATGCACATCTTCCAACATCACCTAACATCCATGCACGTCGTCTCACATCACCTAACATAAATGCACATCTTCCCATATCACCTAACATCCATGCACATCTTCCCACATCACCTAACATCCACGCACATCTTCCCACATCACCTAACATAAATGCACATCTTCCAACACACCTAACATCCATGCACGTCTTCCGCATCACTTAACACCCATGCACATCTTCCAACATCACCTTACATCCATGCACATCTTCCAACATCACCTAACATCCATGCACGTCTTCCCACATCACCTAACATAAATGCACATCTTCCAACATCACCTAACATCCATGCACATCTTCCGCAGCACCTAACATCCATGCACATCGTCTCACATCACCTAACATCCATGCACATCTTCCCACATCACCTAACATCCATGCACATCTTCCCACATCACCTAACATCCATGCACATATTCCAACATCACCTAACATCCATGCACATCTTCCGCATCACCTAACATCCACGCACATCTTCCCACATCACCTAACATCCATGCACATATTCCAACATCACCTAACATCCATGCACATCTTCCGCATCACCTAACATCCACGCACATCTTCCAACATCACCTAACATCCACGCACATCTTCCAACATCACCTAACATCCATGCACATCTTCCAACATCACCAAACACCAATGCACATCTTCCAACATCACCTAACATCCATGCACATCTTCCAACATCACCTAACATCCATGCACATCTTCCAACATCACCTAACATCCACGCACATCTTCCAACATCACCTAACATCCATGCACATCTTCCAACATCACCTAACATCCACGCACATATTCCCACATCACCTAACATCCACGCACATCTTCCAACTTCACCTAACATCCTTGCATATCTTCCAACATCACCTAACATCCACGCACATCTTCCGCATCACCCACATCACTTCACCACCCGTCCCCTTTCGAATCCCAAGTGGGACTGTCGGTATTCTTATATCTAAAGCAAGGAGCCTTACATGGCTCCGCGACATGATTGTTTTTTCATGATGCCATCTTCCCACACCGCCTCACAACCACGCACATCTTCCACATCACCTCACACCCATGCACATCTTCCAACATCACCTAACATCCATGCACATCTTCCCACATCACCTAAAAACCCATACACATCTACCCACACCACCTAACATCCATGCACATCTTCCCACATCACCTAACATCCACGCACATCTTCCCCCACCACCTCACACCCACGCACATCTTCCCACATCACCTAACATCCACGCACATCTTCCAACATCACCTAACATCCATGCACATCTTCCCACATCACCTGACACCCACGCACATCTTCCCACATCACCTAACATCCACGCACATCTTCCAACATCACCTAACATCCATGCACATCTTCCCACATCACCTGACACCCACGCACATCTTCCCACATCACCTAACATCCACGCACATCTTCCCACATCACCTAACATCCATGCACATCTTCCCACATCACCTAACATCCACGCAAATCTTCCAACATCACCTAACATCCATGCACATCTTCCCACATCACCTGACACCCACGCACATCTTCCCACATCACCTAACATCCACGCACATCTTCCCACATCACCTGACACCCACGCACATCTTCCCACATCACCAAACACCAATGCACATCTTCCCACATCACCTGACACCCACGCACATCTTCCAACATCACCTAACATCCACGCACATCTTCCAACATCACCTAACATCCATGCACATCTTCCAACATCACCTGACATCCATGCACATATCCCCACATCACCTGACATCCACGCACATCTTCCCACATCACCTAACATCCATGCACATATTCCCACATCACCTAACATCCACGCACATCTTCCCACATCACCTGACAACCATGCACATCTTCCCACATCACCTAACATCCATGCACATATTCCCACATCACCTAACATCCATGCACATCTTCCCACATCACCTAACATCCACGCACATCTTCCCACATCACCTGACATCCATGCACATCTTCCACATCACCTTACACCAATGCTCATCTTCCAACATCACCTAACATCCACGCACATATTCCCACATCACCTGACATCCATGCACATCTTCCCACATCACCTAACATCCATGCACATATTCCCACATCACCTAACATCCATGCACATCTTCCCACATCACCTAACATCCACGCACATCTTCCCACATCACCTGACATCCATGCACATCTTCCACATCACCTTACACCAATGCTCATCTTCCAACATCACCTAACATCCACGCACATATTCCCACATCACCTGACATCCATGCACATCTTCCCACATCACCTAACATCCATGCACATCTTCCCACATCACCTAAAAACCCAAACACATCTACCCACACCACCTAACATCCATGCATATCTTCCGCATCACCTAACTTCCATGCACATCTTCCCACATCACCTAATAACCATACACATCATCCCACATCACTTCACCACCCGTTCACTATCCGTGTTATGCTGTGTACATGCCTGTTTCAAAGAATTTTGTATTTCGTATTTATCATTGACGTCCTCTCCATATTCCGGGTCGTACCATGGATGGACCTCGGTGTGAAAACCACAAGCATTGCGAAGACGGATATAAAATGATCGAGCCACTCCATCATGTCGCTTTAGATGCAGTGTTTGTGGGCATTCACAGACAGTGTTTACATTTAATATTTCGGTTTGATACACAATCATACAGTTACGGTTTCGAGTGGGAAGTGGCTTGTTCTGAACAGCAAACGGAATGCCTTCTGTTTCACTTTTCAGGCCAGCCGACTTCATCCAAGCGAAGGACTGTGCAGGGTTGCTGTTCCTCTCAACACACTGCACATAAATTGTTGTGATTTACCTGATTTTATTAATTGTTTTGGCATGAACTGTAGATGCTGCGTCTGCAACGCTCATGGCGTCTACGGGCAAATGGCATGCTGGAAACTGGAAACAGGCAGCTTGGAGCGTGCAGCGGCCAATACGTTCAATGTCCTGTGTCCGCGATTAGTAGACCATGGAACTGGAACATGGAAATGCTGACGATCAGGGTGTCCCAGGTCAACGGCAAGAGTAGAGGATCGAATGATCCTGAGAACCAGGCCCAACGAAATCGAGCTCAACCGGCGAATCAAACTATTGTGCAAACTTTCTTCAGGTTCTACTACACCAAATCAGTACCAGTTTGGAGAGTGCGGTTTTCGTAGGGAGCCTCCAGTACAGATCGAGAGATATCTGCAGGCTGTGATTGGAGGATATTCTGTAAGATTTTTATGTCTTTCAAATGTACATCCATCCAGTTAGTAAAACTGACCATGTTTTTCTATATTTAGTACTGTCATTTTCAACATGATGACTTATGCTGAATGTGACCACAGCTATTTTCAAGTAGGTGACATTTGGTGCGAAACTGGGGGTGTTGTGTTTAGCTTCCGGTACTCGGAAAAGGAGCTGACTAAGCTAGTCATTTTTTTTTTTATTGCTGCTCTAAGGTCAAACTGTGCACACACGTACAGGTAATAGCTGTTGAATGCTTAGTTATTTTAAAAAAAATATAACGTTACTATAGAAGTCTATGGGAAAACATTTGGTTGTGTGTAACCTTCAGGCCACTGGAGAACGAGTTACGGGTCAGACGATTAGAAATCGTCTACATGCAGCTCATCGCCGTGCTCAACCGCCACGTCTTGTGCTACCCCTTACACATCGCAATATTACCAACAGACGTGAATAGTGTACACAATGTCCAAACTTGAGTAATCGTCGCAGATCACGAGTCATGTGTTCAGATGTAATCTTATGTAATCTATTGCACTGCTACATGAAAAACGTTTACGCAACCACCAATAAGGTCAGGTGTACCGGGAAGTTTCTATGAGGAGGTGTCGTACTGTGCTGATAACGGATGTCGTGCTGGGAATCCCTGCTAAATTCACCCTTTGGTTCGGGACATTCTGTGACTAGGGTTTTTTGCCGCTTGTAGCAATATTCACAGACCGCTTTCCATGTCCATCCGCACACCATCCTCCCACTCCATCCGCACACCATCCTCCCACTCCATCCGCACACCACCCTCCCACTCCATCCGCACACCATCCTCCCACTCCATCCGCACACCATCCTCCCACTCCATCCGCACAGCATCCTCCATCCGCACACCATCCTCCCACTCCATCCGCACACCATCCTCCCACACCATCCTCCCACACCATCCCCAAACCATCCTCCCACACCATCCGCACACCGTCCTCCCACACCATCCTCCCACTCCATCCCCAAACCATCCTCCCACACCATCCGCACACCATCCTCCCACACCATCCGCACACCATCCTCCCACACCATCCTCCCACACCATCCCCAAACCATCCTCCCACACCATCCGCACACCATCCTCCCACACCATCCGCACACCATCCTCCCACACCATCCGCACACCATCCTCCCACACCATCCTCCCACACCATCCCCAAACCATCCTCCCACACCATCCGCACACCATCCGCACACCATCCTCCCACACCATCCCCAAACCATCCTCCCACACCATCTGCACACCATCCTCCCACCCCATCCCCACACCATCCTCCCACTCCATTATCCACTACGAATCCCTTTTTGTTTGGACCTATAATTTGGTTACGTGACGGGGGCGGTGGGGTAGCCGAGTGGTTAAAATCGTTTGCTCGTCACGCCAAAGACCCGGGTTCGATTCCCCTCATGAGTACGATGTGTGAAGCCAATTTCTGGTGTCCTCAGCCGTGATATTGCCGGAGTATTTCTAAAAGCGGCGTAAAAACAAACTCACTCACTCACTATTTATGTGACGGATTTACTTGTTGGATTGGGCTTACCAATGAAGTCATATTACTTGACATTGCTGATAAGCATTGCAACTGATTTAACATATCATCTAGTCCGTCTGTGCAAGGCGCACATGACAGAAGTCCCTTAACGCGGGGATAGACAACAAGCAGATCACATGCTTTGACATTAGCTAAGAGGAGTACAAGGAATCAGTTGACAGTAAGTCCTTTATATTTTAGCCGAGCGCGAGGTGAAATGGGGATTAAGATTTATATACTTGTATAGCGATGTGTTTGTGTGTGTGTGTGCGTGTGTGTGTGTGTGTGTGTGTGTGTGTGTGTGTGCGTGCGTGCGTGTGCGCGCGCGCGCGTGTGCGTGTGTGTGTGTGTGTGAGAGAGTGAGTGTTTCTAGTTGAGGGTCGGGGAGGGTTTGTGTTCCTACTTGTGTGTGTGCGTGTGTGTGCGTGTGTGTGTGTGTGTGCGTGCGTGTGTGTGCGTGCGTGCGTGCGTGCGTGCGCGTGTGTGTGTGTGTGTGTGTGTGTGTGTGTGTGTGTGTGTGTGTGTGTGTGTGTGTGTGTGTGTGTGTGTGTGTGTGTGTGTGTGTGTGTGTGTGTGTTCCTAGTTGGGGGTAGAGTCAGTATTTGTGTTCCTACTTGGATGCATGTGTTAGAATTGTCTTTTTTCTTTGCAGCATGAATATGAAACTAGTGCGTCATGTTGAGGTTGTGACAATAATGGCAATCTACATGTGGACGCGTGCAGGTGAGTGTATGTCCTGAAGACACATAGCTCCCCGATTACAAATTACTTCCCTGATAACACATGGTCTGATTGATGACAAATGACCTGATTGATGACAAATGACCTGATTGATGACGAATGACCTGATTGATGACACATGACCTGATTGATGACACATGACCTGATTGATGACACATGACCTGATTGATGACAAATGAACTGATTGATGACAGATGACCTCCCTCATGACACCAACACATGACCTGCCTGATGGCAAATGACCTTCTTGCAGATATATGACCTCTCTGGTGTCTCCTGACTTCCCCACTGGGCTAGTGTATGACCTATATTTGTCTTACAAGACGCTTATACATGTCCTATGTCTTCTATGTATGTACAAGACGCGAAAGCATCTTGTTTCAAATATCCCATTCTTTTTCGATATCAGATTCACCCTAGGCTTTGATCATAGGAGTTTCAGCACCATGTCACAGTCATAAGCTCTTACGCAGGGCTAGGTGAACGCACTGAATCAGTTCAGTGAGTGAGTGAGTTGGGTTTAACGCCGCTTTTAACAGTATTCCGGTTATATCGCGGCATGTCAGCTTAATGTGGGAGGAAAGCCCACTTCGGTAAAAACCACGAGCACGGGTATGGTGCTGACAAACCTAGAAACATTATCGAGGCGAACCGGGATTCGAACCCAAAATCACAGGTTTCTGGCGTGCCAAAGGGACGCAACTCTGCACAGCGAATCGCAGCGCCTTAGAAATCTGGGCCACCGGTGCCCCCTTAATAAGTACAGACTTTCCTCGCAATGAAATAACGTTATACGCGGCAGTATGGCAGTCTCTGCATCACTGACATGTTTCTTCTGTTGTTTCCTCAGATACGATGTACACCTATATGTTTGCCGTTCCCGGGAACTGTTTCTCCATACTGGCTGCCGACGGACGCACACACGTTAATATCTCATCCAAGCAATCCTACTCATTCAACCTGAGACAGAACCATCTATGGGTAAATAAGAACTGTAACTTTTCCTACAACCTACAAGTCACCACCATCACCACAGACAACCCCGTCATCGTCAACGGTATGTCGGACAGAAGAAGACGCAACTATCAGGTCCTGCCATCTCATCTCCTGGAAAATGTGTACACTGTCGTCACATATTCGCCCGTGGAGAACACGAAGTGGTACAATATACTGATTCTGTCAAACCAATCCCAAACAATCACTGTGGTATTCAGAAACAGAAGGCCAACCTCATGTTTTGAACATGGGTCTCCAGGCTTGAGAACAAGTGTCAGTATAGGTTTTCGGAGAATTTACAACGTTACGTCATTGGAACTATTTCAGCTGACCTGTGCAGGGGATATAACGGGGTCAGAAGTTCGAGGGGAAGACGTTCTAGCTTTGTTCTCGGGCTATTCCACGCCCTGGCGCGATATCTGGTGTACACAAGTCCCACCTCCGCACAATCTTGGCTTTTCTTACATCCTGCCTCGTCTTCCAGTCATCACTGACAGCTCTGTGCGGATAGTAGCTGTCCGCAACAGAGGAGACTACAGCACAAATATCACCTACAGAGCGTACGGTGGGCACAACAGGACAGTTCCTGCTTTGGCTGGGGGGTACTTCGACCTGAACGTCACCGGTAAAAACTTTGTTGTTCTGAGCGACAAGCTACCCTTGATCGTCATGTTGTCCGGCGCTCTAAGGTCCAATACCACTCTCCACTACTTTACAATGCTGTTACCTTCAGTGGGTCAGTTTAGCAGACAGGTTGTGGTGAAGCCTGTTCGGGGAAAACCCAATAATTACGGTGCGGCCATCATCGAAAGACATCAGGAGAATTCGAGGGGAGCGAATGACCTCGCAGCTAGATACATGATTATACCTCTTGACACTGTGAACATCAATGATGTACTGGCACGCGGGACCGGGGAACGACTTGTTTACGTCACGTATGGCGTCGATAAGCGTTGGGGCGGATGCGCCTATGCCACGGTACAAGTAAACCATATGCAGTTGCAAAACACAATTCCTATTTTTACACCAGCTGAAACAACAAAAGCTATACCGATAGCAGCTGCAGCAACAACAAACACGTCGACATTAACAGCAGCAACAACAACCATGTCAACATCAGCAGCAACAACAACCATGTCAACAACAACAACAACCAAGTCAGCATCACCAGCAGCGTCAACAGCCATGCCAACATCAACAGCAGCGACAACCATGTCAGCATCAACTGCAGCAACATCCATACCGACATCAACAGCAGCGACAACAACCATGTCAACATCAGCAGCAACAACAACCATGTCAAAAACAACAGCAGCAACAAAATCCATGTCGACATCAACAGGATCGACAACAACCATGTCGACACCAACACCAGCAACAACATTGTCAACATCAACTGCAGCGACACCAGCCATGCAAGCATCAACAGCAGCGACAACCATGTCAGCATCAACTGCAGCGACATCCATACCGACATCAACAGCAGCAACAACAGCCATGCTGACATCAACAGCAGCGACAACAGCCATGCTGACATCAACAGCAGCGTCAACCATGTCATCAACTGCAGCGACAACCGTACCGACATCAACAGCAGCAACAACAGCCTTGCCGACATCAACATCAGCGACAACGACCATGCCAACATCAACAGCAGCGACGACCATACCGACATCAACAGCAGATACAACAACCACACCGACATCAACAGCACTTACAACAACCATGCCGACGTCAACAGCAGCGACAACAGCCATACCAACATCAACATCAGGAACAAAGACCTTGCCAACATCAACAGCAGCGACAACCATACCGACATCAACAGCAGCCTCAACAACAATGCCGACATCGACAGCAGCAACAACAGCTATGTCGACATCAACAGCAACGACAACAGCCACGCCGGCATCAACATTAGCAACAAGAACCACGTCGACATCACAACCAGCAACAACAACCGTGTCAACATCAGCAGCAGCAACAACAACAGGAGCGACAACTATGCCGAGACCAGCAGCAGCAACAACATTGTCAACATCAACAACAACCAAGTCAGCATCAACAGCAGCGACAACAGCCATGCCAACATCAACAGCAGCGACAACCATGTCAGCATCAACAGCAGCAACAACAGCCATGCTGACATCAGTAGCAGCGACAACAGCCATGCTGACATCAACAGCAGCATCAACCATGTCATCAACAACAGCGAAAACCATATCGACATCAAAAGCAGCAACAACAGCCTTGCCGACACTCGCAACAGTTACAACGACCATGCCAACATCAACAGCAGCGACAACCATACCGACATCAACAGCAGCCTCAACAATCATGCCGACATCAACAACAGCTATGTCGACATCAACAGCAGCGACAACATCCATTCCGACATCAACAGCAGCGACAACAGGCATGCAGGCATCAACATCAGCAACAACAACCGTGTCAACATCAGCAGCAGCAAAAACAACCATGACAACAACAACAGGAGAGACAACAACTATGCCGAGACCAGCAGCAGCAACAACAGTGTCAACATCAACAACAACAACCAAGTCAGCATCAACCGCAGCGACAACCATACCGACATCAACAGCAGCAACAACAGCCATGCTGACATCAGTAGCAGCGACAACAGCCATGCTGACATCAACAGCAGCGTCAACCATGTCATCAACAACAGCGAAAACATCCATTCCGACATCAACAGCAGCGGCAACAGCCATGCAGGCATCAACATCAGCAACAACAACCGTGTCAACATCAGCAGCAGCAAAAACAACCATGACAACAACAACAGGAGAGACAACAACTATGCCGAGACCAGCAGCAGCAACAACAGTGTCAACATCAACAACAACAACCAAGTCAGCATCAACCGCAGCGACAACCATACCGACATCAACAGCAGCAACAACAGCCTTGCCGACATCAACATCAGCGACAACGACCATGCCGACATCAACATCAGCCATGCCATCAACAGCAGCTACAAACATGTCTACATCAGCAGGAACAGAAACAGCAACAACATCAATCATGCTGGAAGCAGCAGCAACATCGGTAACTACAGGGCTCCAGAGGACTCCGAGCACGTCTTCATCAATAACAACAATGACACAACAAATTGCAACCAATGAGACCATACATACACAAGAAGGTATACACATTCACTGAAACATATCACCAATGAGTCAGCTCATCTCAGATTATGTGGATTTGAGTTAAACCAACGTGAAGTGAAATAAGTTGGTGTTTTTGTCCTTATAGGAACATCAGCTCCAACGAAAGGGATTCCAATCTACGCATCAGTCTCTGTTGCCATAGTGCTACTGGCCATCCTCCTTGGTGTAGCCAAGCTCATCGGTAAGAGTGAGTGAGTGAGTTTGGATTAGCGCCGCTTTAAATATTATATAGTGAGTGAGTATGGTTTTACGCCGCTTTTAGCAATATTCCAGCAATATCACGGCGGGGGACACCAGAAATGGGCTTCACACATTGGACCCATGTCGGGAATCGAACCCGGGTCTTCGGCGTGACGAGCGAACGCTTTAACCACTAGGCTACCCGACCGCCCCAATATTATATAGTAAATTATATTACAACGTGTCACATTGAAGTTAGAAAGCAACGCGTGATGCATATTTTAGGCGTTTGCCACTTTTGTGGTAAGCAACGACCACGCCTCTGACAAACATCACCAGGGCGAATCTGGAAATCGAATCACGATCACCGGATCAATACGACTGATGACGCAACTTAGGCCACTGTGATGAACATGGTCAATTTGGCGTTACATACACACCAGAGTCCATATGATCGAATCTAGCAGCCAAAAGCACCGTGTCCCGTGAACGCTCCGGGTAAGAAGAGGTTTTCAGCAGCCCATGCTTGTCGCAAGACGCGACTAAAGGGATCGGGTGGTCAGGCTTGCTGACTTGGTTGATGCATGTCATCGTATCCCAATTGTGTGGATCGATGCTCATGATGTCAATCCCTGGCTAGTTATGTACAAACCGCCGTCATATAGCTGGAATACTGCTGAGTGCAAACAAACAAACAATCAAAATCATTGTGAATAGTCAATGAAACGTAACGGTACACATCTGTCCAGAGCACTCGTATCATTCGACTACGTGATCGTATATTTCTATCAACGACCCACCCTACTCTATGTGTACTATACATGACCTTAAGACGTTTGGTTACATTGCAATACATGCAGGTCACGTGAGAGACTCAAAGAGAAAAACGGAGGTTACCAACCCATCGGGGGACTCCTCAACACTTATTGAAATGACATCAATTGCAAAAACTGGATCAGGTAAATCACATCGTTTATGGGAGTGGCGTGTGCTGTGCTGTGCTGTTTGTGTGTGTATGTGTGCGTGCGTGCGCACTTATTGCATCATGTCTTGTATTCAACATATTCAAACCTATTGGTCAGTCATTTAATTCAGAATAATGATATTCATCAAAATTGGTTCCAACAAGGGAAACATTTAGGTGGCAATGAGTGGCCAACATGCGGATTAAAATGTCTTTTCAATAAAGAAATAAGGATTAAAATACAATCTGATATGTTTTAGCATCTTTGTGTGTGAAAACAAAAGAAAAATCATATGTGTCTATTGACATACTCCACATAATGATATATTATAACACAGATCCCGTGGTCACCAATAGCAAAACGGATTTTGGCACGAAGAGTTCCAATACATCTACAGTGCGGTCCTCAGGTAACTTGTAGTCACGTGTCCTTAGAAAACCTACACGGCCTGCAGTCAATTGTCAAAAACAAAGGTCTGAGCAGAGATCATTTGCCTACAATGCTCCAGCTCCATGGAACCATCTCCCACGACATGTGAAAGAAGCAAAAATTCTAACAGTTTTCGAGTTCCATCTCAAGACATTCCTGTTCAGACTTTCAACAAATCTAAAATCAACACCAACTGCCAAATCAATGGCCTTTTATTTAGCAGAGTTTTCCCTATTTTAAGAGCAGTCACCTAGTGTACATATTATTATTATTATTATTATTAAATTTGTATATGTCCTGTAGTCAAGCGTCTAAATGTTACCTACGTGTCAAGTAGTCAGTTACCCTCACTGCTACCTACATAATGCATGTCATAAATTTATTCAACAGGTTCTTATGATCTAGAACACGATGGATCAAGTTCAGCAGATTCGAACAACAGTGGTTCGTTAACATCAAGCATCGTCAAGACTGGATCCAAGTAGTTCGTCATCTCCTGTAACACACAGATCAAGACTGTATTTCAGTTATTCGTCATCTTCTGTAACACACAGATCAAGGCTGTATTTCAGTTATTCGTCATCTTCTGTAACACACAGATCAAGACTGTATTTCAGTGATTCGCCATCTTCTGTAACACACAGATCAGGACTGTATTCAACTGATTCGTCATCTTCTGTAACACACAGATCAAGACTGTATTTCAGTGGTTCGTCATCTCCTGTAACACACAGATCAAGACTGTATTCCAGTTATTCGTCATCTTCTGTAACACACAGATCAAGACTGTATTCCAGTTATTCGTCATCTCCTGTAACACACAGATCAAGACTGTATTCCAGTTATTCGTCATCTTCTGTAACACACAGATCAAGACTGTATTTCAGTGATTCGCCATCTTCTGTAACACACAGATCAAGACTGTATTTCAGTTATTCGTCATCTTCTGTAACACACAGATCAAGACTGTATTCCAGTTATTCGTCATCTCCTGTAACACACAGATCAAGACTGTATTCCAGTTATTCGTCATCTTCTGTAACACACAGATCAAGACTGTATTTCAGTGATTCGTCATCTTCTGTAACACACAGATCAAGACTGTATTTCAGTTATTCGTCATCTTCTGTAACACACAGATCAAGACTGTATTTCAGTTATTCGTCATCTCCTGTAACACACAGATCAAGACTGTATTCCAGTTATTCGTCATCTTCTGTAACACACAGATCAAGACTGTATTTCAGTGATTCGCCATCTTCTGTAACACACAGATCAGGACTGTATTCCAGTGATTCGCCATCTTCTGTAACACACAGATCAAGACTGTATTCCAGTGATTCGCCATCTTCTGTAACACACAGATCAAGACTGTTCTTCAGTGATTCGCCATCTTCTGTAACACACAGATCAGGACTGTATTCAACTGATTCGCCATCTTCTGTAACACACAGATCAGGACTATATTCAACTGATTCGTCATCTTCTGTAACACACAGATCAAGACTTTATTCAACTGATTCGTCATCTTCTGTAACACACAAATCAAGACTGTATTCCAGTGGTTCGTCATCTTCTGTTAAACACATATCTAGACTGTATTCCAGTGGTTCGTCATCTCCTGTAACACACAGATCAAGACGGCATTCCAGTGATTCGTCGTCCTCTGTAAATAAAATTGTCAAGGAAAGAGAATAACCAATCTAGATTATCCGCCGAAACAGATTCCATTGGGCGGAAAGTGCAAAAGAGATGGGAAGTTATATGGATTGACCACAGAAAATCAGTGATGACACCAAGTGTTTGCGAAAAGTGTAAGCATGTCCTGCTCTACCGGTAGCACCCACCATTCACATAGTTTACAAAAGAAAGTAAGTATTTATTACCTGACGCCGCACAGCTGTACTCCTGCCATGCGACGGCGACCTGTAACCAAACCAGACAATCATGATTGATGAACCTAAACATCTAGTGACACGATAGTGCATTTACTGATTTTGTGGAGACCAATAAAATATATTTGTTAATTTTGTATAACGACAGTTGTGTACAAGTGCAGAGAATCTACTGCTTGTAAGTAAAGAAAAACGTTGTTATAAGAAGTTGTAATGTATTCGTTTTGCAACAGAGATAGGGGAAGTTTTAATTTAGTGTCTCGGGCCAAACATTTCTTTGGTAGTTGACTCAGCATAGATAAAGCTACTGAGCTTATGGGGAAACTCGGGGACTTCAGTACACGCAGTACATACGTACATACACTCATGTCACCTTTCCTTTGGGGAACTATTTTTTCCGCGATACAGATGGTTGTTGTATGTCTGTCAGTGGAAACAAATAAAAATCTAGCGCTACATCCCTCGAGGTACAAAATTGTGATATAAAAACTCCGGCGTCCATACAGACTGACCCTCACTCTATGAAAGTTCATACTCTAATGAACTCATACAAAGTGAAAGTCAATTCTTAAATAATCCCCAGACGACTTTATGATAAGTGGGATGACTTCAACTTTCTCTTTATGTTGAGCAATATTTCGGCAGCTAAAGGCAATCAAGCCAAGTACAATCGAGCATCCCCTTTCTCCGAAGATTTCAAAGAACTTCACACGATGCTTTCTCAAAAGTTGTTTGATCAGGGACACAGCATTCAAGACCTCAGTAAAGCTTTCAAATTGTGGAGGACATTTCCTAATTTTACGCAACAGTGACAAAAATGATGTTCATGATGCAAACACGCTGATTGTCATTGAACCATTCATTACATTTTCACAGCTTTTTTGCCTTCACGCCCAATGGAATCTGTTTCAGCAGATAATCGAGACTGAATATTCCCTGGCCTTGACGTTTCATATTTATGATTATGTCGCTTTTATTTTCATGATGACATCAAACGTCTTTATCAGAAATTCAAAGGTATCCAAGAAAAGCCTTTAAGACAAGCATGCATGTGGTTAATATCTGTCAATGTCAACACCAGGCTCAGGTAATTTGTTGTCATATGAAATAGCCTTTGACCTGGTTTTCATTTTATTGGCTGGTTATTTAACTTGACCTATATTTTAAGACAGATTATGTATTTATCTATAGCTATTGTCATGTGAACTTTGACGTTTTCACCGCTGACGTAGTTTTCTCGTTATAGAACTTATTTACAGCAGGAACCTTGTCAATATCAAATTTGGTTAATATTCATCTTTATTTCTCAAAGTTAACAAACAACATTAGTACTCTCAGGCCAAGTCAAGACCGATTCCTATGACTAACTCATCGATAATACTGAATATCGATATTGTTCAATGAAGGTTTCAATGCACCGAATCTGAGGGAGAAATGAATGATCGTCCTCAATGTTGGGTCAATATCCCCAAGAAATCTGATCGCAAGTTGTGAATACCAATACAGCCAACTACGGTTATAACGAATTCAAAGGGACCACTAATTTTAGTTCGTTATAACCGTAGTTCGTTATAAGCATATATACAACAAATATACAGCAAATGGACCGGATCAAAACACATTTCGTTATATCCGTCAGTTTGTTATAAGCGTGTTCGTTATAAACGTAGTTTACTGTACCTCGAGCTAAACGTAAAGCACCGTTTTTTCCAAGGTGCAGATAACCCAGAATGGTGATGTGTACAATAGATAACATGACAAGGTGACTGTTATGTACAACAGGTCAGAATTTCGACTTGTAACGATTATATAACACAACCCCACAGAGTAACGTCGGTGTAGAACTGATTTAACGCTGATAAGATGTTTGAATATCCAGGGTAGGCTGTCTATGTTCAGTGAATGGACCTGGTTTAACGCCGCTTTGAACAGTATTCCAGTATTGCCTCGTGTCAGTTTAATGTGAGAGGATATCCCGAAGTGATGCAGGTCTCAGACCTTTACTTCTTTGAGAAACCCACGAGCACGGGTATGGTACTGAGTGAGTGAGTGAGTAAGTTGGGTTTAACGCCGCTTTTTACAGTATTCCAGTTATATCGCGGCGTGTCAGCTTCATGTGGAAGGAAAGTCCGAAGTGATGCAGGTCTCAGACGTTTACAACTTCGGTGAAACCCACGAGCACGGGTACGGTGCTGACAAACCTAGAAACATAATCGGGGCGAACCGGGATTCGAACCCACAATCACAGGTTTCTGGCGTGTTCAAGGGACGCAACTCTGCACAGCGAATCGCAGCGCCTTGGACGACTGGGTCACCGTATGGTGCTGACAAACCTGGAAACATAATCAGGCCAAATCTGGGATTCGAACACACGATAGGTCTCTGGCTTGCCTACACGGCACAAAAATGTGTTTAGACCCTAAACATACACCATTCGCGTTCCTTGTCCCGTAAGTCTTACGCGTTTAGGATTTAAACGATTCCTAAATATGCTTAGATCTAAAAATCTCTTGTATGTGTTTACATTCTAAACACATAGGTAACTGGCCCATACGATCGCCTGTAAGAACAGTGGTACACATGTTGACAAATGTCAGTCAAGTGCATCATCATGAAGACATCATAATCGTCATTAACGAAAACAATTCCAGTCACCATGTCTCTTGATGTTTTTACGACCTACGGACAACACGTCCAACATTATAGATTTTCCAGTTTTTGTTTTGTTCTATTTCGATCACCGACCCTTTCTTAACCAGGAAGTGAATTAATGTCGTCAGCAAAAGTCTAACTCTAAACGTCACGTGAACAATGATCAAGGTCCACCGAGTCATACGAGGGGTATTGAACACTTGGGACCAATTCGACTCGGATATCCGACAGGTTTAGCCATATGAGGACCATTGATTCAAGTTCGATTCCTGGAAGACCGCCACCGTGGTCTAGTGGTAGAGCGTCCAGCCGGAGAGCGGAAGGTCAAGGGTTCGATCCCCGGCCGCGTCATACCAAAATACGTTGATAGATGGTACTTGTTGTTACCCTGTCTGGCGCTCGGCATTAAGAGGCTAAAACAAGGACTGGTCGGCTCGGAGTCAGTATACTGTGTCTGAGTGGGGTATTCATTTTAAACTGCGGCATGGTATCACAGTGTGCTAGCACTATAAATCGGCATCAGTCCGGACTAGTACAAGCAGCCACACACACACACATGCATGCACGTCGCAATATAAGTGCAATAATCTTGGACGCGACGTTAAACCCCCTTTCACCTCACCTCATCTCACCCCGATTCTTGGATTTATAATGATGACCCTTGGTGCCGAGCCAAAGCTTTAACCACTAGACCTTCTCTGGAACACGTTGCGACAGGGACCAACGATCACTGCTCAAATACACTTGTTTCAGATACAGTACGTTGCCGAAAACATCATTATTTCATACATTGGATATGTTCTGTGAATTACAGACAACAACGCGGTGGTCATCCCTTCATGCCGAAATCAACCATTTCGTAGGTCCAGATTCGATTTTTTTACAGACCGCCGTCATATAGCTGGAATATTGCTGAGTGCGGCGTTAAACAACAAACAAACAAACATCACCAATGAATAGCCATTTCTTTTTTGTTTCATTATTAGCCATTATCAAACATGAGAGTATGTTATCTTTTGCCCAGCGGTTTAGTGAGATACAACACAAAATGTCACCTACATCCAAAACAAGAAGTGGAAAAAACAACAACAAAAAACTCGTTTATGTGAGGGATAAAACACGACAGGAGGTTCTGGTAAAACCCGTGGGAAGCAGTTACTGAGCCAGTAAAACTGAGGGGGCCCGAAGGTTTTACTATGACAACCAAAACCGGAGGAGTGTTTTATCCGACTTATGAACTGTCGAAACAACATTTATGAATAGCTGTTTCATATTATGTGTAAAAGTGGGTTACTGTTATGTCTAAAGAAACGCTCGTAAAATATATACGGTCAGGACATTTTCGCTAAACGTGGTATCTTCTAATTTCAACCAGTTCTGTAGTTGAATGGTCACAACGCCTGCTCACTGATCAGGCGGTTGTGAGTGAGTGAGTGTGTTTTACGCCGCTTTGCGCAATATTCCAGCAATATCACGGCGTAGAATCTACTCAGCCTTGAGGCGAAATGTCAGAATACCACACGATCTGATTGTTTAACATAATTCTTAAAGGACTGGCATAAAAACTGTACAGCGGTAAAAGTGTACAAGATCTGGTTGCAAGTGGTTTACTTTTAGTCTGAAAACTATTACGATTTATTACTGGTGTTTTGTACACGATTTAAATGGTATCCAAAGATGGGTTGATAAAAGTCATTGCTTGAGTGAGTATGGCTCTACGCCGCTTTTATCAATATTCCAGTAATACCACAGCGTGGGACACCAGAAATGGGCTTCACACATTGCACCCATGTCGGGAATCGAACCCGGGTCTTCGGCGTGACGAGCGAACGCTTTAACCACCAGGCAACCCGACCCCCCCCCCCCCCCCCCCTCCCCCTCAGGCGGTTATGAATTCCTTTCCCGGCATTAATGTAAAGATCCGGGGTAGAATAGGTCTTCAGCAACCCATGCTTGTCCTAAAAGGCGACTATGCTTGATGTAAGAGGCTACTAACGGGATCGGATGGTCAGGCTCTCTGGTTTAGTTCATGCATGTCATCGTATCCCAATTGCGTGGATCGATGCTCATGGTGTCAATCTCTGGATTTTCTGGTCCAGACTCGATTATTTACAGTGCGCCGTCATATAGCTGGAATATTGCTGAGTGCGGCGTTAAACAACAAACCAAACCCGGCATCTATAATTGAAAGGTTTCAATTCTTGTCTTCGATCTTAGAACACTGGACGTTTGAAATACCAGGTCCAAACTTCATCTGCTTCCCAACACATCAGATCTTACTGCTAGCGGGGGAAAGTAAAACCCCACACCCGGTCTTACTGGGAAAAGGTAAAACCTTACACCCGGGATGAAGTGTTACTAGGAAAAGTAAAACCTCCTAAAATGTTATTACGAAAAAACAACTTTCCGAAGCAGTGGTCCATATTCGTGGTAGGCATATAAGGACGACGGAGGATTTGCGACATTTCAGGTCAGGTGTG